AGGGCAGGAGGGCGTGTGCTAAGGCATGTAAATAGATACACACAGAGAGAAAGAAAAGCAGGACATTTACAAAGAATCCGAACCTTTCCGATGCCCTCACCTCCGGGGTGTGGGAGGACACAGACGCTCTTGCACGCTAAGGCTTGGCTGTACCCTGCAAATACTTACAATTGGATACGGTGAAATATACAACAACTGTTAACATCGCTCTCTTTTAATCACTGAGACAATACTTCAAAACCTTTTATAAAAAGGCAATTATACATACAGAAAAAAAAAAAAGGAACACGTTGGCAAAACTTTATGCAAAATAACCCCAGAACTGAGTTTGAATGGCGACGTGCCTGCCTGGCAATTAAACATGATGCTATGGTCTCTGCACGTGGGGATTGGGATTGTTAGGCCTTTGTGTCAGCTCCTGGGCCTGCTGCCCCCACAGGTTCTCACCCCCTGCACAGGCGCCTTCCGGGGACACAGCGGAGACCAGAAATTGAGTCCCCCAATTCTTGGTTTCTTTAAAATGCAAATAATAGCCAGGGCTGCTCACGGTGGAGAAACCCCTATTTCTACCCCCGAGCAGAACTCCTTCCAAGAGACTGCACAGCCTCTGGGTCCCAAGATGGTCACCCCCAGGGCTTGATGGGTGAGACCACTGTCATGTTCCTTTGATCACATGTGGGAGAGAAGGGAAGGAACACAGATGGGGCAGCGAAGCTCCAACGTTCTATGTGTAGAGAAATAGGGGGTTGTGCTTGGGGCCAGAAACGAGGTCTCCCGTGTGTAGTGCCAAACATCTCTTTCTGTTTTCTTTTGCTCGGTCCATTTGCACAGGGTCAAGAGAGTTGATGGTTAGGTGAGGGATGGGGGGAGCTCTGGATTTTCTAAATGTCAGCCCACCTTCTGCAGCCCAAGAGTAGCAGAGAGAAGACTAGATAAAAAGGATGTGGACTGGTGGACACAAACTTTCTTTCTTTCTCTCACTTCCTGGATGCCTGTTACCCCTAAACTTCACTCACTAAACTGGAAGACCCAAGACTTCCGATAGCTCCAAGTTTAAGGCAAACTGATGAGTTGAGTGGGTGTGGGCAAAGTCAACCAAGCATTGAGCCTTACAGATGACGTCCTGTAACCAAACACACCAAGTGGAGAGGAAGACCTTAACTTCTAAAGGGTGGAAAAGTTCTACCAAATGAAACAATTCATGAGGAAAGCTTGTAGCCCTTCTGTAAGCTGCAGTGAGAAGCAAAAGATCTTTCTAAGAGGAGAATTAATAAGAGGCGCAGAACAAGAGAAAGAACACTTGGGGACCTTGGTACCTAAGTCCTTGGAAACAGGATGGAATTAGGAGGCTGCGTTCAGTTCTGGAAAAACAAGCCCCTCCTCTGTGTCTCTCCCCCCGCCCACCCCCGCCACGCACACAAACACACACACTGGTTTGACGATAGGAAATAAGCAGGAGGATGAGAATCCCCAGGGGCTTGTTTGGAATGCTGATTGCAAGATGCCTTCTCTTCTTTCCAAGGAGATAGCCTGGGAGGCATTAAGAATATATTAATCAAGAAATGTTCTTCCTAGCTTTAGCGGAATATTCATTCTCTTTGCCCTCAAGTGACTGATCTGAAATGAAGAAAAGGACATCAGGGGGGGAGACAAGAGCGTTTGCTTTGGGTCACCTGTCTTTAAGGGGCAGTGTCCACGCCGGACATTTCCACTGCTCAGTGTCCCCAGGGGTGGCTCAACTGATTACACTTTTTCCAGGAATGAACTCAAAGGCTTAATGAACAGATTAAACTACAAGTGATTTAAAAACAAACCAAAAAAATCCCCTCTATAATCATGAGATCAAAGTCTTGAAAAATAATCATAGCATGGAGTCCAGGCCCAGTGGGTTAGCCCCATCAGCGGGAGATGGACTGGGCCCTGGGGAAAAAGGAGCATATGCTGGTCCTTTGTGCGGTAAGGGCTTTGCAGCATCTTTGGATACCCCACTGCTAATGGGGCGGGCTCAGAAGATGCCTTCTGAATGCAAATTGCCAAGAAGTAGGTCACCCATTTCTGTTCCTCTCTGAACAAATATTTTAAACCATCTCACCTAACAGGAGATACACTTAATTGCTTTTTAAAAGGCTACCATATTATCTCAACACTGGGATGCTTCCTGAATTAAACTGAGTGACATTTTCCTTTTTAGTGTTAAAACTGAACATGCTGCCCGGGCAAAGTAATTACTGTTTTATGATTAGAAAATCAGGACATTCTTTTTAACAGCTAATTTGACATATTAACCTCTACCCCCCTTTCTTGCTGTGAGGAATAGGACTGGAAAGAGAGCCCTCAGAATATGGCTGAATTGACCAGTGTTAAGATTTAATAATCTAATCATCTGCTCTATTCTTTGAAAGGAAAAAAATGATTTTGTGGATGGAATGGAAACAGTAAAGCAGCTTTTGAGCAATTTTCTGATTGCTCAGTGGACAACTGTAATGGAGTGGCAGCAGCAATGTACTGTAATTACTCTGGATTCAGAAATTTAAGTCTTTTCTGCTAGGTCACAAAGACACTGCTTTAGGATAGTCGTATATTAGCAGAAGGGAACAGATGACCTCTTTGAGAAGTCAGACAGAATGAGTTCTGGGCGCAGGAATTTTGCCACCTGCACAATGGTGAGAATGCCACTGGCCTGTGTACTTCTCAGTCCTGGGGCCAGACACTACACTGGCACTGCTTTTTTCTTCCTCTGCCTGACCTGCCTGTACCAGCATGGTGGGTGGCTCAAGACAGGCATTGTCAAGTATCCCCAGAGACTTGGTCTCAGAGGGCAAGTGGGCCATGGGGGTTCCTACCAGAGGGAGGGGGCTTCATTTCTCAGGTGTCAGTTGCATTCTTCTTTGTGCTTCATTTGGAAAAGAGGTAGAGCGGGCATGCTCACACTGAGAAGAGCCCAGATTGTGACCAGTACCATCCTGGGAATGACTGGCTGGCCTTGGCGTTGCTTAGATTGCAGTCAGTCCCATCACAGCTCCAAACAGCTCTTGGGGTTTCTCCCTCCATCCAGGGTGTCTCTGGTTTGGTGGTTTGGTCACCCTGAGGTGGGACCCCAATGGAAACAGTTTACTTAGCACTTTGTAAGCTGTATACTCATTGGGTCACCGACAAACGACAACATCGGAGGAAAACCCAGCACTGTTCAGTAAGAGTAGGTGGAGGGGAGGGCGACACCCTCAAAAGAGTATACAAAGGCCTTCTCTGTGTGGTCCTTCAAGAGGAGCTGTTCCGCTCAGAAAACATCCTGCATGTCCTGCCGAGGCACAAAGCAATGAGGCCATCTAACCTACAAGAAGGAAACTCGATGGTATTTTTTTTCAAGGATCTCAGGTTAACAGAACCACTGACACTCGAATGGACAAATCTGCCACCGACGTCTGGCAAAAAGCGAGAAAACCGCCAGCCTGACTCGCCTGTATTGGAAGAACGTGACCTCACAGAAGGGTGATGGGATGGTTAATGTCTCTGATGCAACAAGGACATGATTCTCCTGTGCCAAGGGATATAGCAAGAGGAAGGAGAAACCACATGTTGCCTCCAGCACATGGGTGGCCCTCGGGTGCACTGCGTTCTGGGAGCCAGACGAGGTCCCAGCTGTGCTCTGGTAGAGTATTTCATTATCCTGCCAAGTGATAGTCATTCCTAGGCCTTTGATGGTTCAATGAGCATCTAAAGGATTATAAAATCTAAAAGGTCATCACCTTGTAAACCTGAACAAATCTATGATGAAATGAAGGACCCAAAGGCATTTAATTATTGAACACATAAAAGGAAGTATATTTAAAAAAAAAATTGGTCAAACTGTCCTGTTATCATTTTAGAGGAATTTACAGGGCTGTTATAGATTATTCTTTTGGAATAATTCAGTTTATAGCAAATGCCTAAACTGGTTTCTTCATTGCACAGTATATTCTCTTAAAATGGGTGCTTTAAAACAATTACATACATATTAAAAATCCTCATTTCTTTGCTTAATTAAAATGTTAATACTCTCAGACAACACAGATCTGAAATGGTGAAACCAGCAATTCCCCCTCCCACCTTACAACAAATTAAATTGAGACAAAATTACAAACACATTTCACTACATGGTTATTATTAATAAAAATCAGTTTTCTTTTGTTTGTTTTTTTATAAAGTTGCCCGAAATGCAAGGGATGTGCATAGGTTTACAACTTAGTCATAATAGCATTTTATTCTTATTCCCCTGGGTGTGCCCCGTGAACGGAATGTACTTTGTTGTAGATTACAGATTGTTTTGTCCAACACAGACACACCGACAGCATAAACGCTCGCGACTGTCCACATGCATTAAGAGTCAAGACCCAACTTCAAATCTCTAAAAGGTTTACAGGGTGCTTCAAAGAGACAGTATCACATTATCTGGATGTTACATAAAGGACTTAAAAAAAATACTATTCTAAAAAAAAAAGAGGAAAAAAAGGCCTTTAAAAATTTATGAGTTTTGTAATCACTAGACTGATTATTTCAAATAAATAAAGGAAAGAAAGATATTCCAATCCATAAAATCAGACTCTAAAAAGAATGTAGTGTTCCAACCCCAGTCAAGGTAACAGAATCATTGTTTATTATTATTAAAATAGATTATAGAAAGCAGCATCTATTTTGTGCAGTTTTTAGGGGCCTTGGAAATAAAAAGCTATGATTTCCAAAAATATAACATTCCAAAGGATTGAATAATACATACATTTAAAGATACATTTTATTAAAGTTTAGGAGAACTGATTAAAAAAGATACTGTCTCTTTAAATTAGTGTGTAATTGTTTTTCTCCTCCTATCTATTTGGACATGACAATAATTATAAATGTAGGTCACACTACAACTAGGTAGTCTCTAGGGACCATGACCTGCTGACACAAGGCCGATAACAAAGAGGCTTTTCCATGTATGAGGTGGCTCCCAGTTATGCGGCAGATATCTGGGGGAGGGGGGCCTAATAGACCCAGGAGACGGGGACCCACTGCGGGGCTGTGCACACGTGCTCCACGGCTTCCTCCAAATGTCTGATTGTCTCGTCGATTTCATTGTTGATAATTGTGAGATCGAAGTAGTGTGCGTATGTTCTCTGTAAGATGTCAGACTCCTTCTGCAGACGCTGAAGAGATTCATCCTAAATGGTGAGGGGATGGAGGGAAGGGGTGGGTGTGGGAGGAGGGAGAAGCAAAGAGGAGAGAGAAGTCAACCAAGGTGGTTTTCTCTGGCTACATTTCTGTCTGTCCCGGTGTTAGAAACAGTCGAGGCCCGCCCGTGATGGCACACATCTGAGTGTGAGGCCGAGGCTGCTTCCTGACAGAGGAGATGACAGTCCCCAGGATGGCAGGGTCACAGAACGACGGCTTACAACCGCGACTGCTCACCATGCAACAGGGCCTCTGTGCCGACCTGGACGGACCAGAGGACACAGACACTCCTCAGCAAACACACGACCCTGCTCTGGCTGAACTGTGCCCGTCTGGAGTCAGCCGAGACTGTCTGTGCTCATCCCCCTGACCCAGGCCTGCCTCATCTCGAACCACTCTCCTGTTTGGCAGAGTGGAGGGGGCTTCGGGGGGATGGGGGTGAGGTCAGAGCCCTGTGTCCCCTTTCCTTGGTCCTCTGCTCTCGCTTGCACTGAGCCCCAGAGCCCAGCTGTGTTTGCCCCAAGAAGCCCCTGCCTCTGAATAACAAATGAAGTTGAATTTTTCTGCCATGTTCCCAGAATTCAATTACATATATAATGCATTGTCTGCACTCACTAGCAGTGGATATGCCAGAGGCAAAAGCTTTTTGGATGTTACCAGTAATGGATGAAATGAGGCCATATCCCAGATACAAAGGTAACCGACACCCCCGATGAATCCCTTCAAGGTGGTCTGTGTTGGAAATGGCCAAACATCACTGTAGGTCCTTGTATCTCTTACGGAAAAAACTCTGAAGGAGAAGCAGCTACTCAACTCTTTGCTGCGGCAAAGACTTTCCCTAAACTTCTGCCATGCGCCCCAGAAAGCCTCAGGATGGCAGTTCTTTCAAGATGAGGATCTCTTAAGGGCCACCAGAAAGTTTGCCTCTGTACTGTCATGGCTCAGATCTTGTTATACTGAGCTTTTAATGGGGGAAGTTCAAGTTTGAAACTAGGAAACTCTGTAAGTCAATTTAACTGATTAGGTAGGTGAGCTGTTGGGTGGACTCTGAAATATATATCTATCAATAGATACAATTTAATGCTTGTTTGTTTGATTAGTATCTCTCTCCCCAACTACAGTACAAACTTGCCCTGCTGTGCCCAGCACTTGGCATTATGCCTTATACATAGTAAGTGCTTAATAAACCTTACCAAAAGAGCAAGCGCTTGGCTGGTTAATACTGGCCATGAGAGGATGTGAGGAGTGTTAAATTGGAAATCTACTAGGAAATGGGGGCCCATGATGACAGAGACACGTCTCTGAAAGGTGTGGTGCCATCAGGGACTTGGGAACTGTTGGCGCTCACTGCAGGCTTAGGACCCCTCTTCTTTTCCCTAAGGACCACCTGTTTATAAGAGACTCTTCCTAGGGGAACCTCGGTGTGTGGTGCAACCCTTTGACAAGGGGATTCGAGGTAAGATAGTAACACTTGATTCCATCACAGCACCGCAGTGGGGATGACAGACACCAGACAAGTTGGGAAATCAATCTCTTCTATCAGGACACTCTGAAATGAGAGTGTCCTAACTGTTTTGTTATCTACCAGAATTTCAAAGCAGGATGAGGCATGCTTTGGATGTTAGGTATTAACTACTTTAGCGTAGGTAAGACCTCAGTTAATCATTACCTTCTAAGGTCGTATCAATACACTTTCTGCTTGCACTTAAAAAGCATAGTATTTTCACTGTGGCTCGACAAGAAACAACACAAAAGCCCCATTTTAGGAAACATGCATTCACCCAAAGACAGGAGTGCTTCCTACCAGTACGAGAAGGAGCAATTCCTACCATGTCGTGCTCCAGGCTAGGGGATTCTATTGGAATATACAATAGTACTGGGCTAATATAAAGTCCTGGGCTTTAAGACCCACTAACAGGGCTTATAATTTGTTCAGAAAGCTGGGCTGGTGAAAACATTCAAGAAAATTTATGGCTGAGAGCATCAAATTTTTAATGTAGTTCTCCCCCCCCACTTAAAGTTCCCTCTTAACGATCTTACAAGATGAAGTTATATTTGTCAGTTTCTTCCTCTACAACAGCTTCTCTGCCGGCTTGACTTAACATGAGCAGGGGTTAACTCAGTGAAAACAAAATGCCTTTATTCTAACAGCAGAAGCAAGGATTTGTGGGAACAAAATGTCTACATTCTAAATCTATGAAAGGAAACAAGGCTGTATTTTATCACCTCCTAGCTGGTACTTACAGGCAATTTTCTGCACCATTTTGGCAGCTATGGAAAATTAGTAAAAGGGCAGGAAAAAAGGCAAAAACAAAGCAAAGATGGTAATTCAAGAAAAATACATGGTAACCAAAGGATAAGAGCTAGCCACAACATGGAGTTTCAAACATGTTTGTGTATTAAATAAGACGGAAAAGTAGACTTTACCAAGGAATACATCTTTTGCAAATGAAACATCAAAAAATGACTGAAAATATAAGTGACATAGAGATCGAGATATTTAATCTTCTTTAAACCTAGATGACTTCCCTGGTGGCTCAGATGGGAAAGAATCTGCCTGCCATGGAGGAGACGTGGGTTTGATCCCTGGGTTGGGAAGACTCCCTGGAAAAGGAAATGGTAACCCACTCCAGTATTCTTGCCTGGATATTTAATTTTTTTCCTGAAGGTGGAAATCTCCAAGCTTTGATTTTACTGTCACAGACTTGGGTGAGTCCAGGCCACTGTTAATTAGACAGTGCCAAGAACATTCTGGTGGGTTCTAGACCCTGTGGAAGGGATGGTCTTCAGTATTAACTTTCTAGGGTTTCCTCATATGATTGACCCTACAGCAGCAATATATTTACTGGACATGCCATAACTACCTTCTCATCAGCCTGACAGTAGCAGGCTATGTGAGCCAGCTTGGTTCTAGATGCTACTGCTGAGCCTCACAGGCACCATCTCCGTGGTGGCTGCTGATTTGAGTAGGCCTGAGAGGGGACTGAGCTCATTTCTAGGTTTGGGAGTCTCCAGGGGCCTGGGTAGAGATCCTGCATGGGTTCTACACTGGAGGCTGCTCAGGGGAGCCTGGGCAGCTCAGCCAAGGTGGTGGATGCCTCATAGTTGTCCTCAGGCAAAGCCATCTTTGGCCCCGAGCTCTGTCAGTACAGCTGTGATCAGGAAGGCAGCCCCACAGTGCAGGAGCTGGCCTATGGAGAAGGCTGACTGCTCTGGACACTCAAGCTTGAATTGCCTAATGACTCTGATCTTGGAAAAACCATACTTCTCTGTGGGGTGTAATTCCTCCTTCTGAATGAGGACCTTGATCTCTGGAAATCTTAATGGCCGACATGGAGGACAAAGCAGAGCTTCACTTAGTTGTCTTAATGAGATGGGGCTTTGGCCTTGAACGAGTGACACAAAGGCATCCTTATTCAGGGGACTGCTGAGTAGAGGACAAACTGATTAATTCTTACCTCATTCAAACCTGGAGTGATAGTTGGTGCGGCAATAAAAACAACAAAAGGAGCAAACTCTGCTGTTCTCAGGACCTTCAGTGCCTGTGTAAACAAAGAAGAAAACTGAGACTTAGAAATAACCGATGCAGTGTTCAGACAAGCCCATAGAAAATGATACAACTGGAAAAGCCCTTGATTCATATTTTTGGCCAGATATTATTAAATTTACCAACATTATAAATAACTTATATGACTTCTTTTTGTCCAAGGGGTGGACAGTAGCCGTCGGAAAATAAAAGCTAACAAACTGGACATTTTTCTTAGGAATCTCATGAATCGATCTGAATTATTTTTCTGCAGAAAAGTGAATACTGATTATGTTTGGTTACTGTTCATTCAAACCTGGTAATTTCAGTTTCTAGGAAATGCATTTTGGGGTAGATGGGGGCCAGCAGGCTGGCTCAGAACTCATCTAGAGCCCACCAAACCACACTGCAAATTGCTCACAGGGAGAGCAAGTCCTGACCACTGTGACTGTTCACACCGACACAGGCCTTCTGAGTTGTCCCAGGGGAGGACCCCCCACCCCCGCTACTCTGGGACTCTACAGGGAAGGGAGACCCCGTGTAGAGATGGAGCCTGGAGCTACTCTAGAAGCCATGTGACTGTGAGTAATTTGCAGGCTTGTGATAATACCTGTGTTCAAGGGAGAGGCATCTCTGAGGCCCCTTTCAGTTCTGTTCTGAGGCATCTAAAACCTCTTAACTGCACGCTACAAGTTTGCACAGAGATAACTGCAAAGTCCGCACGTGATGCTGTGGGAGTTGATTCTGGTCAGGGGTTGGTGCTTCTGCCCCTCCCCTCTGAGGACAGGGCTCTCCCCTGACCCCAAGCAAGGGGTTACACTCCCACCCTGCAACAAAGTCGAACATAGGCACACAGTTCACAAGTGACTGACATGTAACTAATTCGTATGCATCAGGGGTAAATATCTTGCTGTCCTTTATTTAAGAATCTAACATGTCTATTCTGTTAGCCACAGTTTGCTTTCTAAACAGCCTTTCAGTTGTTTGTGTTGCCTTATCCCTACTCCCCCATCCCCACCCCCAGTGCCTGGTTTGCTGTAGTAGCAGTTTGGACTGCTTTCCAATTCCCAGGTGGCTCAGTGGTAAAGAATCCGCCTGCCAATGCAGGAGACACAAGAGGTGTAGGTTCAATCCCTGGGTGGGGAAGATCCCCTGGAGAAGGACATGGCAACCCACTCCAGTATTCTTGCCTGGAGAATCCCATGGCAGAGGAGCCTGGTGGGCTACAGTCCATGGGGTCGCCGAGAGTTGGCCACGACTGAGCACACGTGCACAGAGCCATGTGATCTTGGTCACATGAGGTCACATAAAGGTCAGAGTAAGCCGTTAGCACACAGAATGATTGTTCTAACAGGACTTCCTAGGTGGCGCTAGTGGTGAAGAACCCGCCTGCCAATGCAAGAGATGCGAGTTCGATCCCTGGGTCGGGAAGGTCCCCTGGAGGAAGGCATGGCAACTCACTCCAGTATTCTTGCCTGGAGAATCCCATGGACAGAGAAGCCTGGCAGGCTGCAGTCCATGTGGTCGCAGAGTCAGACACAACTGAAGTGACTTAGTATGGCACGGCACAACCCTACTAAGCCCTACCACTAGAATGATCTTTGGGAACTACAAATTCCCTCATATCACCCCTCTACTCCAGACCCTGCAAGAGCTCCCTCTTGGCCTTGGGATGAAATGTAGCCTGGTCCACGCTCACCTTTCTGTCCCCCTCTGTGGACAGGCCTTGCTGAACTGCTTTCAGTTCCACAAAAGGGTCAACCTTTCTCTTCCTGCTCCTTCTGCCTGGATACTCACTCCATCCCCTGGCCCCCATTCCCCACTCTCCCTGTTGCTTGGCTGAGTGTTCTTTCTTCTGCAAATCCTTTGTGAGCTCTGATTGGAGGCAGGCGCCCCTCTGGTGTGCTCCTGACACACCCACACTTAGGCACCTGTAGTGCCCGTCACCATGGAAATGGAAGTATCTGGATGCTGCCGGCTAAGCTTCTTGAGGGCAGGGCTGTATCATTCAGTGGTTGCCTTCCTGCCCCAAATGGCATCTGGCAGAAATTGTTTTTTGATCAAGCAAAGAGGTAAAAGTAGTACATATAATTCACACAAATTCTGTTTTGCCTTTTGAGGCAGGTTTGATTAGAGGGCATTGTGTTTTCATGCCTCAAGCGACTCTCAGCCTCTGTGAATATCAAGGCATGGAAGAGGCAAACTGGTTGCTCAAGGTTTTGACTTTCCTATTCAGTGCAAGGTTCACTTTCTCTAGGATTAAGCTTCTGAATTTTAGTTACCATTTCTCCTTGTGGGGTAAGGGAGTGTGGCACATTATTTTGCCTGCCATCAAAGTGCTGTCAAAAAAAAAAAGTGCTTTAATTGTGACAGTCACAGGCTCAGATTCCCTGTGGGAGAAACCTCTTCGAACTTGCATATGTTCATTTTTGAAAGAGGTAATTGGCATTTCTTTGCAAAGCCTTTTGTGACTGAAGATTTTCGCAAGGAACAAATACCATGAAGTCCATATATAGCTCAATGGAGCTTAACAGGGATCTTTGCTTAGAATGGGCCTTTCTATCATTAATATTGGGGGCCTTTTTTCTATCCTTCCTATGTTCATAAATCCGGTGACTCCAGGGTTAGTTGAGACATAAGTTTTCCTTGTCACTCCACACCCACCCAGAGTCACCTTCTGGGCAACTTGGATGGGGACAAACTAAGGCACAGTCCCTACCCTTGCTCCCATCCCTGAGGTGCCTGTGGTCCAAGGGCCACAACCCTCCAATGAATTTGAGAATACTGCCCCTGGTGTGAAACGGACTTTTCTCCACTCGGTGACCACAGCCTAAAAGCCACCTAATTGAGTATTACTCCTATTACTCTCCTATTACTACACCAGAAAACTCAGCAACTGTTATCTGCCTGCAGATTACCCTGCTCTACACAGCATTCACGGGCTTCCCAGGTGGCGCAGTGGTAAAGAATCTGCCTGCCAACGCAGAAGACACAGGAGACATGGGTTCGATCCCTGGGTCAGGAAGGTCCCCTGGAGGAGGGCATGGCAGCCCACTCCAGTATTCTTGCCTGGAGAATCCCATGGACAGAGGAGCCTGGTGGGCTACACTCCATGGGGTCGCAAAGACTGGGACACGACTGAGCAACTTAGTACTACCACCACAAGGCAGTCACACTCTTAGTCTTTAACCATGAAGACGGGAAGGTCATTCAGCACCTACTACACGAGACCGTCAATGGACACTGTAGTCACCACACCACCAACTGCCTCTTATGTCTAAGGAGCAGGTGATATATTCCTTTAGCAGTTAACTCCAAGGAAAGAACCAACATACTTTCCACTAGATGAGAATTATGTGATTCATGACATTCTCCTTTTTGTCCTTGCTGCCAGGAAGTTCTGAGCCTCATTTCATGTTTATCACAGTAACTACAGTAGCCTCTGTGGTTAGTATATTTGCTTCCTCCTTCTGCTCATGGCTTTGACTTTCTCTCCTATATTATTATAGTTTCAAAAATGGTAAGATGCCTGGAATCCTGACTGAGATCTTGCCTAGTCTCCCTTATATCTTCAGCAGTCACATGCACATCCTCAGTTGTTCTTGAAGGCCTCTCTCCCCAGACTCTGCTCTACTTATGGCTCTCAAGTGGCCGCCATTTTCTGGCACAGTCTTAGCTTGCCTGAAATTCAGGAGCAGGAAATGGGATTGCTTCACCAGGATCCCCCTCCATCAGGCCATTAATAGGTGGCTTTAAGATGATCTCTAAACCCTCTTCCTTTTTAACTTTTAAGACGAGACACAGATTTGTTAATATTCATAGGCAAATATCTCTTTCTGAATCCCCGAGAAGGGAGTCTAGAAAGATCACTGAAAATATGTTGAATTCAGACAGGCAACGAAGCATTAATTTAACATTTAAAATTAACTCTTTTTCTTTTGCAGATGAGTTGATTTAATGGCTCATCTGTGGCCAATAATTAATCTCAGGTTACTACCCTCAAAGAATAAAAACTCATTTGACCAAGTATCTAAGAAGCAGCTATCTTTAAGACTTATTTGGTTTTTGCAAAATTAAAAAGTACTTAAGGGCAAACATCTGAGTCATTTTGGAGAAAGATCTAAGGGCTTAAGAAGAATACAATGACCCCAGAAACTGACTTCACACAACAGCTTCTAGTTCAGAACCTGGCTCTTGTTTCCAAGCCCAGATCCCTAATAGGACTGTACATCCTCCTTGATGACAACCTTTCACCCTGTGGGTGAAAGCAAAGCCACAGCAATTCTGTTACTGGCAACTCTTCAATGCAGCAAATGGCCAAATCAGAATATAATTAAAATATAAAAACCCCCCCAAAACACCCCCCCCCCTTTTTCTTGGTTACATCATGTGGCATGTGGGATTTCTTAGTTCCCTGACCAGGGATCAAACCTGTGCCCCTGCAGTGGAAGTACAGAGTCTTAACCACTGGACCACCAGGGAAGTTCCTAAAACTATCTCGACAACATTGGAGCTATGAGAGTTCTGGGATTAGGGACATAGATTATTTTCTGAGCCATGGCTTTATTTCCACAAGAAATCAGCTCTACAGCTTTCCTCAGGTTTAACTTCCTTACAGATCTTTATAAATGTTAAAGATTTAAGTTGTACTCCTATGTACAAGGTGCACAAGCTTAAGGATTAATCAGGGTTAACTTTTCTAGGATTCTGCGGTGAAAGGAGGCTGGGATTTTCTCTTTAAAAAAACAACCCAAATCCAAACCAAGACTCTTCAAGTGACAGTTAGGTTAAGCCTTGATTTCTTCATCTACAAAAGTGGATACAGATGTCTCGATCTCTGGTTACAAGGATTAGGTAGAAGAACTAATTGCTTGGCAAATGTAGAGGAACACAATCTATTCCTATTATTTTAAGAGAAGTCAGGTTGCTCATTTTTGTCTGAAGTCTTTACCATGGTCCTTTGGGATTAAAGCAGAACCGTAGCATCTTATATAGTATTATTAGACATGTGTTCAGTTTGGCCTGAACTGTCTAAAGTCAGTTAATACGGCACAGACAATGAGCTGAACACCAGTGTGGGCTTTCTAGGGTGTCAGCAGTGGCTGAAGGAAGAGAGCTGTAAAAATGCCAACTGGCACTTCTTCCATTATAGGTGGTTTTTGATGAACACTGAGGAAGGAATTTCATCCTTACCAGCTTGCCTTATTTGTATTCTTAGCTCCTGGCAGAATGCTTAGAACATACTAAGCAGTTAATACAGGCTGGTTGAGTCCAACTGTCCGTGACACACCACGGAGTGGGTAATCAGACGGCCAGGGTGGGAAAAGGGCATGGAGAAAATGTCCTAAGGAGAGAGACTCCCCAAAGCAACGGGGCTCTGCCTGACAGCAAGTTGGTCATGGCCACGGGCATCCTGAAGGCAGGGTGCAGGCCCCGTCAAGCCGCGGGGGGCGAGTGGGCTGAAGGGAGAGAAGCCTGAGGGCGAAGCCCAGATGGTGCAGGCTCTGGGCACCTGTGGCTGGACCGCTGGATGTGACGGTCATGGCGCCTGGGACCAGAGCGGTCAACCAGACTGATGAGGGAAGCGGGATCCGCGTGATCCCCGAGCCCAGGGCCCTATCTCTCCCGAGAGACCCCAGTTCTGAGAGGAGGGGGACAAAGGAGGCAGGAGAGAAGAAAGCGGTGAGCCCCGCCAGCAGACAGGGAACAAGGAAGATGCCCAGGTCAGGCCACAGGTTGCTCTGGTGCCCAGTGCCGCACGTGGGCATCCTGGTAAGGCCGAGACAAGTGTCTCCCACTCAGCAGTGCAGAGCAGTGCAGGGCTGGGCAGGGGCGAGGGCACAGGGAAGCTGGGCGCCAGGAGGGGAGCAGCAGTAGCAGCAATAGCAACAGCGGTGGCGGCAGCGGCAGCAGGTGAGGCAGAAAGCCCTGGAAAATGGGCTGAGGTAACGCGGAGGGGGTCTGAGGAGCCCTGCAGCCAGCATACTGCTAGAGACATTACTACCAGCAGAAAACGACGTTCAGGTGAAGACCAGTGTGGAACCCAAGGACAGGGTGTCGATGACCAGGACCAGGATTGAGACTTTGCCTCTAGCCACCCCTGGCCAGAAGATTTTTCCAATCCCTAGTAAGGAGGGATCAGTAGTTAAACAAAAATCAATCTACATTACACATCATATATTTAGTTCTCTAAAGGTCCAAGTTCATTGTCAAGTACACTGTATAGCGTTCACCCTACTGTTGCTTTCCTCCCCAGCCCCTTAACCAGATTCCAAGTTCAAGAACCCCATCAGCTGGGACATGGAAATGGCTGAACCCCCTGGCCCTGAGGTTAGGATCTTGGGGCCGAGTAACTGAGCCGCCAGGCCCCAGGTCACATAAACCCTGGTTAAGCTGGTTTCATCCACTTTTGGGGGATGGTTAGGGGCCCATGTCTCACACAGTGGCCCTTGACCAGGGATCTTCCCTGCCCCGGGGTAAGCCTTCTGGTGAAACAAAGCCTGCTGGAGGAGAGCTGGTCTACCATTTCAGCAGGTGGTATACTGATTCTGTTGATAAGTGATATGGGATTTTCCGTACAGGTTGGTCTTAGAAACGGCAGGCCGCAGAGTCACATGGGCACCCACAAACCTCTCCTGTAACCTGCCCGGGTGTCTACAACTCCTAAATCCTTCCTACTGGGCCTTGAGTCCCACTTGTTAGTTTGTCCTCTGATGAAAAATAGCTTGTGAACATTTTTGATGTAAGGCCTTGTGCTTTTTCCTTTTCAAGTTTAATAATTTCGATTTCTTCCAGCACAGGATGCATCTGCAGGTCATCTAATCATCTCTGAGCCCTCTCTAGGTTCTCCATATGCCTCCAAGTTTAAGCTCAGGGTCAGGCACTGTCCCTCAGTAAAGAGGTGGAGGAAGCAGAGAACCACCACGGGTCTGTACTCCTGCTCCACCTGGCATACCCTGGGGCTCGCGCGTGCTTGCACTCATAAAGCTAGGGTTGCACATCAGACCCAGGGCCCAGGGTCAGAATTTCTTGCTGGTGATTAACCTAAGATGCTGGCAGAGGCTCTGATGGTCTAGTGTGAGCTGTACCAAGAGAGGAAAGGTAGCTGCGGTGTTTAACCAAGTGCCAGAGTGTCATCCTGAGTCAGATTACTGGAGGGTTTCTGGCAGGCAGAGACCTGATCAGGCACCTTATTGAGTGCCTGAGTATAATGAATCTCATAAGAGAACAGTTTCTCTTTCTTAGATACACTGTGTGCACTCTGAGCACAACGATTAGCTTGCATTTTGGGTGGTTAACTCATGGTACCTTCATTGCCGATACTTTCCTGAAGCTTGCTATTAGATGATTATGTGACCCATGATGTTCTGATGGCACTTTTTGATTTCAGAACCTGAGCTTAGCATGCAGGCAGGATGACGGCGTGCCAGGGGTGGCCGGGCATTACCTGAGGCTCCACGTCCAGTATCGCGATGAGACCTTGCTCGTGGATCTTGCGGATGGTCTCCAGTTTTGTCCCGTACATCGCATCCTCATGGCTGCCGTACTCCAGGTACTCGTTATTAGAGATGTCTTGCATCATTTGGTCATGAGATACAAAGTAATAATTCTTTCCATTTTCTTCATCTTTCTTTGGAGGTCTGGTTGTATCTGCAAAGTCACAGGTCGAAAGAGGTTTAAGAGGCTGAGCATATGAGCTGATGCTCCCAATGGACCTGTGCTCTGCTGTGCTTAGTTGCTCAGTCACGTTCAACTCTTTGTGACCCCACAGACTGGAGCCCGTCAGGCTCCTCTGTCCATGGGGATTCTCTAGGCAAGAATACTGGAGTGGATATCCTATGCTCTCTCCAGGGGGTCTTCCCAACCCAGGGATTGAACCCAGGTCTCCTGCATTGCAGGCGGATTCTTAACCATCTGAGCCATGAGAGGAGCCCCCAGTGGACCTACCCAAACTCAATCTCTCTTAAAAGCCATGGATCCTGTAGCATATGTCATGCTCTGTTCCCACCTCCAGTAGCTTTGTAGAAATCAGTTCTAGAAGTCCTATTTGTTCATGTGACATCAGAACACAGTAGTTGGTTAGTTGTTTGGTTTGGTGAACCTTTCTGTGTGGAGATGAGATCTATTTCATCCCTTCAAGGGTAATGACAGGGGAAAGACACTAAATGACCCAGGATTAACTTAACTTACTGTATGCTTTAATGCAGTTAGGTCTTCAGAGAAGGAAAAAGGAGAATTAAACAATGGAAAGCCCCAAATGGTTATTTAAGTAAATGAAAATTAGGAAAAGTTTAAAAAATTCAGTTCCTCAGTCTTACTAGCCACATTTCAGGGGTTTAGTACCCACATGTGGCTAGTGGCTACCATACTGGACAGCACAGATATAGAATGCTCTCATGAAAGAACATTCTATTGAATAGTGCTGGTTTACAGCATCATATACAAGGAGACTATTAGAATACAGCAAAAGGGATACCATATTGGAAACATAATGACCTTAGCCAGACATGGCCATAATAGTTAGGAAAGACCTAAACCAGGAATTGGCAAACTATGACTTGTGGGCGAAACATGGCCTGCTGTCTGTTCTTGTGACTAAAGTTTTATTGGAACACAGCCATGCTCATTTGTTTACATATTGTCTATGGCTGCTTTCAAGCCACAATGGCAGAGTTGAGTGGTTGTGTCAGAGACCATATGGCCTTCAAAACCTCAAATATTTGCTGTCTAGTCCTTTACAGAAAAGGTTTGCTGACCCCTGACCTGAGTGAGTGTTTACTAAAGTATCTGCCCATAAGTCCTACTTGTGTGGGATACTAACAGGATCAGCATTCTCCAAAATGCACTTTAGGAAATGTTTTTCTAGATAAGCCAGAAACAACAGTTTTAGTTTTCTTTCTCCTTTTGCTTCTTGGCTTTTTTGAGCAGGGACAAATTTATGCAACTCTTTGTTGTACCTGAGTCCAAACCCAGGGGGAGTTCCCCAACTCCTGCTTCAAATAGACTGTACAACTCCCAAGTGCTCATGGACATCGAAATGTGGATATTTAAAGAAGAACCCTTTCTCCAGGCACACAAAAAACTGAAGAAACAGCGTACTACGTTGACGCTGTATTATGTGCTATATACATACCCATGGTCAAATATTATGGCAAGTAGACATGATTAAGGTCAGCAACAGCACACTTTAAAACCAAGCTAGTTCACTGGCCATTTAATAACATAGAATTTCAACTGCTTACATGATCAAGAAGAAAGGTTAGCTAAGCTTGCTATGCTGATGGTCTAGACATAAGGAGAATTAGAATAATATTTGGAAGTATTTTACTAGAAAACCCAAGTGGTACTGATTGAAAGAATATTTAGTGAATTTCTTTTTTTTTTTTTAGTAAATCAGGCAGGGTTCTGGGATGACAGTGGTCTGATGAAGCCTCACAACTCTCTGGGGTGTAGAGAAAAGTCAGTGGTGTTGACATGGTATTGGAAGGTGCTGCAGGATGGAGTCAATCATCACGCATTCTCCTTTAGCTCTTCCCACTCTGAACAAAGCTCTAACTGCGAGAAAACTTTTGGGATTCAAATTTTAAATTTTGGAATAGTAATAATAATAATAATAATAATCATAAAATGAGAGTAGTAAGGTGGCTATTATCTATCCAGTATCTGCTAAGTACTTCACATGACCTCAAATCCTCTTCATCTTCCTGGAATTACTTCATTTTGTAATTGAGGAAACAAAGAGGACATGAGATTAAGGATAAGATAGAGAAAATCAGGAGAATAAAAATATTATAGATTTAAAATTCTTTACAATAAGCAGTGGATAGCCCACTGGGTTTTAAAAGTGATAAAAATCAACAACTTAGGTACTGATTAAGGAAAATACTGTTATATCAAAGAAAACTATACTATCATTAAAACCTGTTTTTCTGAAGAATAATTAATCTGGGTAACATTTATGACATACTGTTGGAACAATTAGTTTACGAACACATTGGACGAGCCCAATTTTGTTAAACTATAACAGTGATAACACACACATACACATGATGTGTTTGCACTAAGAGAAGCCTGGAAGGATATTCAATAAAATATTGATGGCACTATTATTTGGGAGCTGGTGGCTCAGTGGTAAAGAACCTGACTGTCAATGCAGAAGACTTTGGGTTCAATCCCTGGGTCAGGAAGATCCCCTGAGGAGGAAATGGCAACCCACTCCAATATTCTTGCCTGGGAAATCCCATGGACAGAGGAGCCTGGCAGGCTACACCATGGGTTCACAAAGAGTTGGACATGACTGAGTGACTAAACAACAACTATTAGGGGTGGGGTGGGGTTGGGATTCACTGTTAACTCATTTTCTTCTTTGTTCTTTTCTGGATTTTCCAAATTTCCTATAATGAACAGTTCTTACTTATGTCATCAGAAAAAATATGTAAATTATAAGGTTAGAAAAATACTAGGAAAAATATACTTAATTGCTTACGTGGAATAGGGTATGCAAACCGGTCTGGGTGCTTTGTGATGAGGGTGTTCTTTATGTGTCTTCTCCCAACACCATGTGCACCTATGTAATTTTTTAAAAAGTTAAAATTGATAATTGTTAATAATAATTGTAAAATGTTTTGAAGATGAAAATAAGAAAGCCACTTATACAGTCAAACTTACCTAATAGGACTAGTGTTTTCCTTTTGAATGCTGGCAGTTTTACTACTTCTTCATATGTAACAAGATCTAATTGATCAAACACTAAAATGCAAAGATTTAGAAGGAATATAAATTTACAGAAGGAATAGTTCATGTATATAAATTATAATTTTACTGGCAAAACCAAAATTATAGTAAGTTCATGTCTTAAGAAATATGAATCCAACTTATGATATATAGCTCACATGTAATTTAAGTCATATAACCTTTCGGGAGAAGATTTTACTTTTAAGCCCATGAAAATGCACTTTAGAACCAGGGGCATCCAAAGACATGTTGAGCACATGCATATAAGTCCAATTGTAAAAGATACTGCATATTTTTTCATGCAGTATCCAACAAATCATATGAGTTCATTCAAAACCACATGCTGTTCATATTTTTGCAATTTTAAGAAATCAGCAATACAAAGTCTCCAGACAGCGACTAACATGAATATAGCGTGAATGCAACTAGAGTTAACCAAGAAAGAGGCCAGCTAGATTATTTCTAGGGATGGATGAGAGATGCATGGACAGCTGGTCTTTAACTTGATGGTTGGTTCTTTCAGCAGAGTTGCTGAAGGTAGCATGCTAGATTCTGTCAAAGTCAAGTTCTGTAAGTATGATTTCACAAACTTTGGAAATGAGCATCTCACAGGTTTTATTGTAACCCAGCTAGCTATCCATTCAATAGAAAGTCTTGGGTGTGTAAGTAGGGGAACATGGTTCCCTGGACCCCGAACTTTGTCAGCCTGTGTGTGGTAAGTTGGGATGGATAGAACTGGAAGAAGCATGAAGCAGTCTGAACTTGAAAACCTTTGCAAAAGGGAGTTCTCTAATCATTACAGACTGAGAAGAAAAGCTTTAAAAATAGCTTTTTGAAACCTGATTCTTAATAAAACTATTACAAAAACTTTCCCAAGAGGATGATTGTTCCTGTTGAAGTTTAAGGTAGTCCGATTCTCACACACATTTGAAAATTCTCACAAGAAGGTTAAAATAATCTCTCTGTGTTTCTGTAATATTTTTTTTCTATGTGGTATTACCCAAATGTTGTCAGGCACACACTGAAATTTCTTTTCTTTTTTTTTTTTTTAAAGAATATTGAATAAAGTCTGGATTTTAGAGGGGTTGAAATAAATTCCATGAAACTGATTCTATGGTAATAAAGGAATCTACAATGCTTCAGTCGATCATTAAGAGAAGCGTCTACTCCCTGAAACAATATGGCCAAATGCTTTTGAATATCAGCTCAGTCCTTAACATTTGTGATCTTCCCAGTAGCAAAGAACCTTAAAATGCAAAATAGGATACTCTGGAATGCAACAGATCAGAAACAAACAAACAGAAGTATCATTCCCAAAATATTAAAAAAGAGAAATACAATATGTTAAAAATAACGGTTAGTGCATGTTAATGGGTATTTGTGCATTTGTTTTCCTTTGATAACTCGATTGCATAAAGGTTGACTAAAAGACTTTAAAGCATATTTCTCTAGCAACAGCTAAAAACCACAAAATACTTTCTGTGTTTAGAATGGCAGATTCACAAAATCGAAATGAACAGGAGGTTCTCTGCAGGGCAGAGCTTGCTAGTCATGCTGCAGTGGTAATGGTGACGAAGAGTTGTAAAAATAAAAGCAGGAGAGCAGACGGCATTGCTCTTTATACCTATTGCCCTCTGAGTGCTATGTCCATCAAGAAAAGTATGCTTATGAAAGAGGTCCATCAACAAGCTGATATATTTTAGTATCTAGAAATAATCAAGCATCTCACAAAAGAGCAAGATGTTGACACAGATTTTTCTGAATGGTATATACATCTCTTTCCCTCTATAGAGCCCTAACTCCAATCTTACTGAATTATCTTTTTTCAACCACATAAGAATGAGTTAGATATTAACAATCAATACGACAAACAAATGAACAGATGTTACACATCAATATCTTAACCATAAATGAGTAGCATGAAGAGGTTACTCTGGTCTAAATGAAATCATCACATGGCCACAGGATGGAGAAACAATAAAAGAGGATATTTTCAGATATGACGTACAAGGAATATAAGGAGAACACTTTGAGACTGAACTTTTAAAGGTTTTAAGTTGTTTGCTCATTAAAAGAAAGGGACTTAATGAGAGGAAATTGTCAAAAACAAAGAGGCACAGTCACTCAACAGGTTACTTACATGCACAGAGGCCATTGGGAGTAAGACAGCATGAAAAATGTACAGGGGTCATTGAAATATGGCTTTTAATATATTAGTAAAATAAAAGTATAATATGCACAAAAGAAACTTTACCATGCAATATTCTAAACACAAGGCAAATAAATCACATTAAGAAACAAACTCATTTTAATAAAAAATCCAACAATACCCTTATAATAAGTCAGTGGGTTTTATATACTAGCAAATGCATACAAGTTTTGTCTGGGAATCATTACAAGAAACCTTCTTCAGGGAGTGTAGGTGTGGAAGTGTTTTGCTTTTCATTTTGTCTTTTCTAATCACATGTGCCTATTACTTTTACTATTTAAAAAACAGTCAACAGGGCCACTTTCAGTTGTCTTTAGAGTTCTCGGTATTAAAGAAAACAAAAGTAATAGTTTTTTAAACTCAACAGTACTAATTTGTGGTATAAGCATAATTTAAGCACATCTATGAATGGTACTGTAGAAATCCTTTATAGATTTATTCATATTTGTGTATATAAATGGGGTTTCTCAGGATATTTAAATACCACTGCTCAGGACTTTAACATTAAAAAAAAATGAATTAATGAAGACTTTAAGAAAAAAGTTTGTACTAATAACTTGACCTAAAACTGATTTTGGAAGTCCTAGGGCTGCTGAGGAATCTCAATGCCTCAAAGAGTACAGTTCTTCTAGAAGCACGACAATGCTTTTTGTGTCAAATTTATGACAAAAAATTTTTTATGTGTTACAGAAAATGTCTTTGCTGTAAACTCAAACATAATCAAATCTATTCCCAAGGCTTCAGAAATATAGTCTGGTACATCGTCCTGACTTCTCTGTAAGCTATTCAACATTCAAGACACCTGTAAGTATTTAGGTAACTACTCTCCAGTAGAATCTTTTTCCATAAAAAAAACTTAAACATTTATTCCTTGTCTCAGTAGGAAAAGCCACATAGTATCTTCAAATACCAAACCTCCACTTACGTGAGAAATTTCACAGAAGTAACACGGGGCTGAGTGCACACACAAATGCTTGCAGTGGCCAGGTAACTAATTTGTTTGAGTGAATGGGCCACGTGCAAGGATGGAGCCATGGAGACAATGGATTGTAGAGAATGAGTGTTCATCCAAGAGGGACCTCAACAGCCTAGAGTTGCTAAGGGAGGAAATGGGTCCCATGTTACCACACTCCGTTCCTTCAAGGAAAGGTAGAAACCCAGATTTTATGTTAAATATTTGATTTTCAGTTGATTATTTTAAACACTATGTGTGTATGGAAAAAACAACATTTGTTTATGGGTCACATTCAGCTGATAGACTCCCACTATATAAAGTGAGAAGTAGGCAGCAGTTTGAATAGAATTATGCTTTAACTAAACATGTGGAATTTGCAGGTAACAGAAATGGAAATAATTAATTCTAGTATTTTATCATTTCCATCAGTTCTAGGTCTTAATAAAGTTCTCATCTTTCATTTTTACTACAAATATAAACAACTTTAGAATTTAATGATGAGGTTTGGATCCTGCTATCAACAGTTGCAGAATTCTCAGACAGGAAAAAAAAACACATATGGTCCTTATTTTTTAAAAATTATTTTTCAATGTATAAAAATTAGTTGCATTTCTTTTTAAAATTGAAGTATAGATGACTTAACAATGTTTTAGTTTCAGGTGTATAGCAAAGTGATTCAGTTTATATATATTCTTTCTCAGATTCTTTCCCCTTATAGGTTATTACAAAATATTGAGTTCCCTGTGCTATACAGTAGGTCCTTGTCGGTTACCTATTTTATATGTAGTAGTGTGTATATGTTAATCCCAATGGCCCTTATTTTACTTTACTGAGGACTATGGGAAGATCCCCTACTGTATTTTACAATCAACTCTTGAATAAATCAGAAAACCTCTTTCAGAAATATAGTTTGATTTGTGGCCTATGAACCCATTTGTCTAGTTCTTGGTGTTTAAAAATATGATATTTCAAAGTACTCAAAGCATTTACTTTCCTATTGGAGGTCAATAGTATGTGTTTCTCTCTTTTAGAGCAATTCTTTATGTCAACAGTGCCACATATTAGGGTAAACTTTCATCATAGCTAAAAGCAGAACAGCTGATAAAATACTTGACTTTCCTTCCTGACAGTTTCGTCTCTTATAAAGTCAAGGTAATAAGCAAATGGTTCTTCTGGTCTTTATGATTAACAAAACATAAGAGTTGGTTTGTGATGGGGAAGAAAGCTGAAGAGAGGTGGCAGATAGGACTTGATGAGGAAGACCACTGCTTAGGAAGATGCTACAGGTAACAAGAAGTGGTGGTGGTCTTTGCTACTCCTCTTAATTTTAAGTTTACAAGATCTTACATACATCCATGGTTTTGGATAGGAGTGTTGTGTTAAAAGACAACAGAGAAAAAGCAATCCTATTCCATCTCTATGAGGCTCCTGCCTTCTCCATCAGGGGTGATAAAGCCTTCAATATAATGGGCAACGTTTACCAGAGCTAAACCCTTAGATAAGGGACACCAAGACTGAGTACTTGGCTTCATTAAATGATACCCATTTGTCAGGGCCAGTGATGAAATAACCTGAGATCCACTGAACTTTAGAATTGGCAAAGATATCCTTCAGTGACTAAAACCCAGTCTCCTCATTTTGAGGCCCACAGGAGTCAAATGATTTACTTGAGTTGAATGGTTACTCAGGCGTCCTAACTCCTGGTCCGAGCTCAGGCTGGCTATTAAGCTTACAGGTGTGTTTGTAGGCCCACCAAGTACCACCTATGATGAATCAGAGAGAATGGGAACAATGGAAGATCAGTGGAGCCCTGGTGGTCAAAGAATGGAAAAAGTGGACTGACCACCAGATGGGGTACTGGTTCTCTGGTAAAATTCTTAAGTGAACTATTCAGTGTATTCTTTGTCAGAATTTAGAGGTTCTAGTTTTTCAACTGACTTCTTATTTTTCCTCAGAGTTGAATGAAAGAGTACTGGCAAACTGGATACTCATCTCTACATGCCCTCTATCAGTACAGTATAAAAAGCTAAGGATGGATTAACAGCCTCATTGGCCATTTCTTTGCTTTTCTAGGTTTAAATTAATTTTAATGCCATCTATATAAAAATTACAAGGTGATACATAAATATGTAATGTCAACAGACCTTTTGAACCTGTTAGAAGCTGATGGAAATCAAGGTGATTATGGAGACTTGGCAATAACCACTGACATTTTGTGTTAAACAACATTCTGCTGATACTACAGTGAATTTCTTCAAATAGTATTACTTAAGCATTTACAATTAGTTTTAACTGCTTATATTTAACTAATCTACTTTAAATATTTCTTCCCTTTATGAAACAAAAAATACCATTATTAGACTAGTGTTCTATAGTGGTGCTTAATCAGAGATGATCCATTTTATTGGAATACAAATATCACGATGGGAAAGATTCCTTATTTAACTGAACCATTTAAAATTAAGCCATGTGGTCACTCACATTCATTCCACATTATACAGTACTTCAAAGTGTTTACTTTTACTCCCAGATCAAGAAATGAATCATTCAGAGTTTCAAAATAATTTTTCCTGGTAAATGGTAATGAAACATTCTACAGAGGGAATAGCATTTCATATTTGTCAGGAATATTATACCATCAAATTGGGTATGCATGATTGCATTCACTTGATTTTTTTTCTTTTGCCATATATTTGATGTTAGAGTTATTTCTGAAACCTTGGGAACTAGCCTAATGCCCATGTTGGGGCTTGCAATTCCTCAGAAAAAGTTCCTTATAAAAGGAGTCATATTAAGAAGGTATTAAAAGTAAGTAAATCCCACTCTATATCATCATGAAGTTTCTTTAACTTAAGTTACATCCTGTCAGTCTTCTGGGAATTTTACTTCAATGACAGAGCATGGTTTTTTGTATTCATTTCAGTTCTTAGCAAATGAGTGACTATTTTGACTTAAGTTGAATGCAAGCTTCAAAACAGACAAACATACCATGAAGGGCAGGCCAAGATAACGTCCTTGGTCTTTTAGGAGCTAGGAAGTACCATGAAGGAAGAAGACTAGTGACAGGAACTAATGTCATTTGTGCTCTTTCAAATCAATCACAGCTCTGTTAAGAGTGCACATTTGCCCTGAGGAATGTGTCACAGGGCTATATCCTAGGGCCAGAGAGGAGCCAGGAGTGAGGGTATTTGCTCAAAACCAATCTCAGCAAGAGGCAAGAATCCTGGTGACTTGGCAAGCCCTCAATCTCTCATTTCTCAGGGCAGGACTTAATGTACTGGGTTCTCTGAGTTCCAGAGAGTTCTGTTTCCAAATAGCATTTTCTTCCTATAAAGTAGAGCTCTGTAAAATATTTGGCAAATATAAGCAACATAATAATTGAAGGGAGGGGTTTCTTAAAAGTTTTGTAAGCTGATGAAAGATCTCATGTGGTGACATTTTTGGATAGAGAACTCTGAAGACGGAATTGAGGTGTGACATCTACTTTGGTCTTTGAGATGTTTAACCCGTCTTAGTAAGTCGTACTTTTCCCTACCTGCATTGTGCTTTGCCAAATATTTATCTTTGTACTGCTTCTTTTTCTTGCCAAACCAAGTGCAGCTGGCCTGCTGCTCCTGTTTGGTCTTCTCCATGGCAATGCAAGCGACTCGCCTAGCACACAAAGAAAGGGGGAAAAAAAAACCCACAAATGTATAGTTTTATGCTGATAAGAGAGAAAAACCAGTCATTTGAAGAATGAATTGCATGAACAAACTCCTCAGAAATGCTTCAAATTATTCAGGTAAAAGGTTTGTTCCTCGAAAAGTTCTAAGACATGTTTAAAAAAAATGCAGGTTTCTAACAAAATAACATTCTTATCACTTGAACATACACATGTAACTGACGACACAGATGAGAAGTAAACATAATAGTCATGAAATATAGTGCAATGAGTGTGGGATTTTGAGTTGAGACAAGTCTGATTTGAATCCTGGCTCTCTCAATTATTAGCTTTTATCAATTTAGTGTTAGGTGCTTTTCTGGAAAATTTACATATATTAATTCATTTAATCTTTCTAGCAACATGTGAAATTGTGTCTGTTTTACAGATGAGGGGATCAAAGGATTGAGAGGTTAATTAATTTGTCCCGCGTGTGTGCATGTGCTCAGTCGCTCAGTTGTGTCCAACTCTTTGCAACCCGGTGGACTGTGGCCCACCAGGCTCCTCTGTCCATGGGGATTCTCCAGGCAAGGATACTGGAGTGGGTTGCCATGCCCTCCTCCCGGGGGATCGTCCCAACCCAGGGATCGAACCTAGGTCTCCTGCATTGCAGGCAGATTCTTTACCATCTGAGTCACCAGGTAAACCCATGAATACTGGAGTGGGTAGCCTATCCTTTCTCCTGGGGATCTTCCTGACCCAGGAATCGAACCAGGCTTCCTGCATGGCAGGTGGATTTGTTACCAGCTGAGCTATCTGGGAAACCCAGATATATTTTCATCTTTCTAACAACATGTGAAATTGTGTCTGTTTTACAGATGAGGGGACCAAAGGACTGAGAGGTTAATTAATTTGTCCTGTGTGTGTGCGCATGTGCTCTGTCGCTCAGCTGTGTCCAACTCTTTGCAACCCCATGGGCTGTAGCCTACCAGGCTCCTCTGTCCATGGGATTCTCCAGGCAAGAATACTGGACTGGGTTGCCATTTTCCTACTCTAGGGGATCTTCCTGACCCGAGGGATTGAACCTGCATCTCTTGTGTCTCCTGCATTGTCAGGCAGATTCTTTACCACTGCACCACCTGGGAAGCCCCTAATTTGTCCCAAATCAAACAGCTAATAAGTGGGAGAATGAGGACAGTTTGGCATCAGAGCCCATGCTCTTAGGTGGTATATTGTTTTGGCAAGTTCCTTAATCTAGAATCCTAGAAATGTTTAAAAAACACAGGTTTCTAACAAAATAACATTGTATCACTTGGACATATACATATAACTGATGACACAGAAGAGGAGTAAACATATAGTCATGAAATACAGTGCAATGAGTGTGAGATTTTGAGTTGAGACAAGTCTGATTTGAATCCTTGCTCTCTCAATTGTTAGCTTTTATCAATTTAGTGTTAGGTGTTTTTCTAGGAAATTTACATATATTAAGTCGGCTAATCTTTCTATCTCTTGGATGACTGTTGCAAACAATTTCAACAAAAGATGTAAATAATATCTATCACAGCAGGCACAGTAGTTGCCTAATAAATGGTACTACTATTACAACATGGAGATTCTAGGGAGGGGAAAAAAACTATGACTGAATTCAGTTAGGATTACATTCAGAAAAATCATAATTTTGTTCTACATGATTACAGTGTTCAACATTGGTAACATATGCATAAATGTTAATAAGTTGCTCTCTTAGGTTCAGTCTAAGCAAGTACTTGCCTTTCAGGATACTGCCACACAAGGTTTTGCTTATTTAATGACTTTGCTTGTGGGCCAACGTGGGGGTCCCTGAGTGAACCACATATAAGGAGAATTCAAAATCACTATCAGAATGCCATACAATGCTATTGAAATGATGAATTGTTTTCTAATGAAGTTGTACTGACTTATTCTCCCACTAGCAGTGTAGAGTTCCTTTGTTCCACTTCCAAGTCAATACGTGGTATTATCAGTCTGTAATTTTAGCCGTCATGGTGGATAAGCAGTGAAATAACACTGTTTTAAGTTTGCATTTCACTGATCATTAATGAGATCAAGCACCTTTTCATATGCTTATTGGCTATTGGAGTTCTTCTTTTGTAAAGTGCCTATTCAAAGACTACTTTCTTATCCAGTTGTCTTTTCCTCATTGATTTGTAGGAAGTCTTTATATGGCCTGAATATTACACTTTTGTTAGTTATATATGTTGCAGGTATCTTCTTCCACTCTGTGGCTTGCCTTTCTAACCTTTTTATAGTATTTGATAAAGATAACATTAGTTTTTAGTCAAATCTAGCAATATTTTCATTTATGGGAAATATTTTTGATATCTTTTTAAGGAAATCCTTCCTTGTCCCTAAAGATATTCTCCAGTATTACCTTCTCAAGAGTTTATAGTTTTGTCTTTCATGTTTTGGTTTTTAATACACCAGAACTGTTTTTTGTATATGGTATGAAGTTAGGGGTCAATTTCTCTCATTTCCCGCCCCCCGCCCCCACTCCAATGGATACCAATCATCCCAGCATAACTTATGGAAAAGTCTATTCACTCCTCACTAGTGACTATATATGAGAGTGTTTAGGGGGTCTCTTCAGTTGGCCTATTTGAGCATTTCTAAGCCCATACCTTATTATCTTAACTACCAAAGCTTTATAGTAAGTCTTGGTATCATTGAGGCAAGTCCTCTCTATTCTTCTGGAAGAGCATCTTGACTATTCCCAATTCTGTGCATTTCCATGAGAACTTTAGCTTGTCAATTTCAAAATGGTTGGGAATGAATTGAATCTATTAATTAATTTGGGAGGAATAGATATCTTTGCAATATTAAGTCTTCCAGTCCCTAAATACAGTATGTCTATACATTTATTTAGGTCTTCTTTAATGTCTCAATAAGTTTTATAATTTATCCTCTAAATGTCTTGAACAACTTTATTAGATTTGTTCCTAGGTTGTTGATTTAAAAAGATTTTATAAATGGTTTTCAAAAATTTGTAATATTGAAAAATTCAAACATATACAATAATACCATGTAACGAACCCCAAATACCTACAACTCAGCTTCAACATTTATTAACTCATGGGTTATTTACAACCTACCCACCCTAAGATTAGGCTTCCCAGGTGGTGCAGTGATAAATAATCCGCCTGCTAACACAGGAGACACGGGTTTGATCCTTGACTTGGGAAGATCCCCTGGAGAAGGAAATGACAACCCACTCCAGGATTCTTGCCTGGAAAATCTCATGGACAGAGGAGCTTGGCAGGCTACAGTCCATGGGGTCACAAAGAGCTGGACTCAGTGATTGAGAATGCACCCTAAGATTATTTTGAAAAAAAAAAAATCCAACTTTGTATTATTTCCTCCTTAAATATTCTTAAACTCCCTTTAAACCTATAGGTTTCCCCTTCTTCCCCCTCCCCCTTTTCTTCTTGCAATTTATTTGTTGCAGAAACTGGTTGTCTGTGCTACAGTTTCTGATTTCACCCCTGTGGTGTCTTTAATAAGTCTTTCGTATTTCTTGCAAACAATTAATTAGATCTAGAGGTCTAATCAAACTTGAGCTTTATTTTTCTTTTTTGCAAGAGTACTTTATAGTATTAGGGTGTTATACAGGGTATTTAAAAAAATTACTTTCTATTTTTTTACCGGTAAATAGAAATATAATTCATTTTGTATACTTATTTTTATATCAGCCATCTTGCTAAACTCATATTAATTGTAATTGTTTATATATATATTAATAGACTCCTTTGAATTTCTACTCAGAATCCTGTCACCTGTAATTTTTTTTCCTTTCCAATTATGTTTGCTATAGGTTTATTGTAGATGCTCTCAATCAGGTTAAGGAAGTTCCCTTCAACTTCACAGTCTGTGAGAGTTTTAATTATGAATGGATTTTGGATTTTAACAAACGCTTTTCCTGCATCTAATGATAATGACTTTGTGGATTTTTCTTTAGTCTGTTAATATGGTGGATCGGTTTTTAAATGTTGAACCAGCTGTGCATTCCCAGCACAAACTCTACTGGGTCAAGATGTATTATTCTTTTTGTAGATTCAGTTTGCTGAATTTCAGATTCTTTTGCTAGATTCAGTTTGTTAATATTTTGCTGAGGGTTTTTACATCTGTGTTCATAAGGGATAATAAATACCCATATTCAAAATTTATTGAATTTTTGTATCAGGGTAACGCTGGGGTCATGAAATGAGTCAGGAAGCATTCTCTTCTACTTTCTTGAAGAGTCTTTCCTCCATGTCTCTTTCTTTCTCTTGTTCATTGAGGGCTTTAAAATTTATATTTATTTTTGGTTAGGAGAAAGACATTTATTGGGAAATACTGTGAACTGTCTCTCAGCAACAGTACCAACGTCAATCTCCATATATTACCTAAGTGGCATACAGAGGAGGCTGATGAAACCTTTGGGAATTCTTCCAGTACAAGCCAATATGTGTTGTTAGTCATAACTACAGCTTCTGTGAGGCATACGCTCTTTGGAAACCTAAATAGAACTGAGGCATTTTTGACAGGTTAAGAGACCAAAATAAAAAAAATCCTGACCTTGTGAAGCTTATGTTATAGTGTACAGAGTATCTTACAAGAAATGATTTTAAGCTTAAATAAAGTTCCCAGTAAAAATTTGTGGTGTGGTCATATGTAGTGTAACGAGAGAGGAATGAAACTGATTTTTACCAGGCACTCAGGAAATGAATGTTATTTCTTTTAGCTCTAAGTGCAAGGAAACGGTTAGAATTTAGGTCAACACGGAGGAAATTTCAAACACATGTTTAACATTTATTGCTGACTTGGATGAGGCTCTAGTAGGCAAGGGAAGGGATGACAGATTCAGGGACTCAAATCATATCCAAGGATTAGACTGATGGGCCTTGTCAAGCAAGATGAAATTTACCAAGGATAAAGAAGGTAAGGTATTTGGGTTAAAAAAAATTGATTTCTCATCTGGAGAATGTGAGAAATT